GACCACGTGGAAGGGGTGAGGAGTGTTGCTTCATTCAACTTGCGTCGTAAGTATTTCCGACGTTCTTTTATCTCAACTATTAATTCGTGCAATGGAGTCTTAGCTTTTGTGGTCACCAAAAACACAAAGAGCTGGCTTAACTCGAATATAGTCATCATATTAAATCCCATGACGAATGAGTACTTTGAACTTCCCAAGGACGAATTCAAAGGGAATTGGCTTACGTGCTCCTATGGATTTGGATTTTGTCCTAAAACAAAGCATTACAAAGTAGTAAGAAACTTCACCGTGGAAGATAGAAACTCCACCGTCCATAATAACTACAAATCAGAGATTTTTGCTTTTGGGACCCGGCAGGAATGGACGCGTATTGAGTCACCGTCCTGTTCTTTTAATGGATGTCATGGTGTTTACTTGAATGGAGGGTTGCATTGGGTTGGACAAGATGATCTTCATCAAGATGTTATTTATGGTATAAATATGGAAGATGAGAAGTACAAGCACATTCCTTTTCCTAATAATGATGGTTATTTTCCTTGTATTGGAGTATTTAATGGTGCTCTTCATCTAACTCTTTCTATGGAGGGGCACGAGTACACGATGTGGAAGATGAAAGAAGATGGTTCGTGGATTAAAGCATTTAGTGCCAGCATACCAGATGTGAGCAAAAATATTCTTTCTTTCTCACAGTCAACTGTGGAACAGATTAAAATATGTAAAGATGGAAAGATCTTGTGTGTTTGGGCGGGAGCTGAATTAGTGTTGTATGATCCAAAGACGGAGAAGATGGAGAAGTTGATGGATGATACAATTGCGAGAGATTTTTCGGTTCACAACATCGACTCCTTTAATTTTAATGCTTTTCCGGATATTTTGACTGGAAAAATATGTAAATTTTGAGTATAATTTATATTGAAATTGAGATTGAAATTTTGTTTTAAATATGTGTTTTGTTCATAAGGTTAGAGGTAATTTTTTTTTTTAATTTTATTTTTATAGAAGGAAGTGTACTGGTTTAATTTATTTTTATGAAAATTTAATTATGAAACACACATATTTAAGTTATTTATTTATTTATTTATTAAAATTAGATAAATAAACTCAAGGCATATTATTAATAATATATTTATTAGTAAATAAAAAATAGATTAATTTAATTAGTTTAATAATTTAATATAATAAAAATAATAATTAACCAACCATAGTAAGAATATTATAAATATATTACTAAAAAATGAAAATAAATTTAAATTGGTGAAATATCCAAAATATCTATTTTTAAATTGGCCATATTTAAAACTAAATATAATTTAAGATAAAAGAATATTGGGATTAGATTTTTAAAATTTTTAAATAGTTAAAAATATAATTTAAAAATTGTGTTTAAAAAAATAGGAAATAAAACTTTTATATATATAAAAATCTAGTTTTTATTTTCTAATTTTTATTAATTTTTTATATACAAAAATGCAATGGTTATCTAATTTTTATTAAAATTTGTTTATCGTGAAAACAAAATAAATAAATAAATATATTAAATTAAGGAAATAGTTTATGAATTTAGGTGCGAGACCCAATTAAAATGGTGTGAGATTTTTATTCGAAAAAAAGTATAATTTAATTGATTTTATTTTTTAGTTGATGGATGGAAAAGTGGACGAAAAAGTTGATAAATAATACTATTGTGAGAAATTTTTTCGGTTCACAATACTCCAATACCCTTTTCAATATTTTAACAGAAAAATTAGGTAAATTTTGAGGATGAAATTGAAATTTTGTCTTAAATATAAGTTATTTAGTTTTGATCGTACAGTATACTAAATGAATGGTTTAATTTATTTTATTTTTATAAAAATTTGATTACCAAATACAACTCATTATTAAAATCAGTTATGGATGATAGTTTTATTAATAATAAAAAAAAGTTTAATTAATTTAATAATTTGATATATTAAAAATAAAATAATTATAACTATTGGTCTAAAATTAAACAATAATAAAAATATTATAAATATGGTAACAAAAATAAACCTATATGAAATTTTAATATTTTAAAATATTTTATTCTCAAATATATTATATAAAATATTTAATTAGTTAAATGCACCCATCTAAAATTAATTTTAGGAATTGGAATTTCAAAATTTTGAAATACTTAAAATATAATTTAGAAATTATGTTAGAAAAAAGGAAATAAAATTTTCATTAAAATTTAAGTTTTTTTTATTTTTCTTTTTAATTTTATAAAAATAAAAGAAAAGATTCCTAAATTATTATTTTAACTTTTATAAATAAAAAAAAAATCAAATGTAACATCATGGCGCGCGATGTACGGTCAGCCGTGGATGAGGTCGTCGGTTCGAAATCGAAAAGACGCGCTAGAAATCAAAATTCTTTTAATCTGACGCGCGGCAACGAGGAGCTGTGTAACGACCCTAAATTTCCACATACTCAGAGTCGCTACTAACGTCTCATGCTCATCTATAATGCGGAAATATAACTCTTACATGAACATAATTGATAATGAAAATTTTCAAAAAAAAACGTTTAAAATAACTTCTCCTCTGAAAAACACGGCCATGGTCTTACGTGTTTAAATATGAAATACTGAAATTTAGAGAAACAAAAACAAATACAAAATAATTTAAAACAATGAAATGCAAAACAACCTATTCTAACTTAAGACTAGAAATTTAAATATGAGTCTACCCTATGCACGTGCCACAGTCTCTGCTCGCGATGCCGCCGTCCTCCGTACAAGTGCGCCTTGCCTTTACCTGAAAAAAAAAGATGTGGCACACGGCCTGAGTATTTCAAAGAATACTCAGTAAGTGGCCCCACTATAGGAGGCCATGCAAATGCAAACACATGCAATCATGATTTAGGGACCTATCTCTAATCATCTTAGGGGTGGCCTCCAGTCTCGGACAAATTGGATGTGTAGTACTTCCCTACACACGACTCACACGTGCGAGTGTGA